GGGGGGGGGGGGGGGGGGGAAAGAAGGAAATTCCACAGGAAGTTCAAATATTTTATTACTTCCTGTTTGTACAAAGTATGTCAACACTTGGCACCCGCTGCGCCATTTGTTTAGAGCTAAGGTGTCAACTTGAAAAAAATGTCTTTTTTCTCTCCAGATCTAACCCAGAAAGAGCCTGAGCATAAGTAAAAAAATATCTCCGAGTGAGCAGGGCACTTGGAGGGAGCCTGCGAGAAGGCTTGCAGGGGATGCTCGGGGACCACGGTGGAGCAGCCAAGACGGTGGCTCAGCTAAACCCGCCACCGTTATCAGCCCCACGCGCGCCCCGAGGCGGCTCCTCGCTTGGTTGGGGGTCCTGCCGGTGAGCTTGGGGGTCTTCAACACCGTGGCCCAGCTCTCCCAGCGCCCCCATCCAGGCTCTGGCTGTCACCCTCTTCCCTGTGATTTCTCACCCATCTCGACTCGATTTCAAACTCCTCAGAAGTTTTTCTGGGCGCAGCTTTAGTTAAAAGACTTGCTCGAGGGCTGAGATGAAGCGATGGGACAGGGGTGGAAGATGAATGGGGATGCTCAGAGGTGGGGCGTGGAGCCTGGCCACGTTTCTGGCCCAAAAACTCCACGAGAACATTTGCTGGAGGAATTGCGCCGCATCTGAGAAGACGATGCCCAGGGCTTTCCCAGGATACCAAGACAAATGGCCAATTCTTTCCACATTAAGGGGATTTTTCTGCCCGCTCACACCAGCCCCACATGCAGCCTCCAGCCCCGTCTAGCGCTGATCCTGCACAACAGGAGCCAACACACACTGTGTCCCACTCATTTGCAACATCACAGCCAAGAAGGGGAAAAAAACCCATAGTTTTAGGCACACATGCACATATATATGCACATACACACACGTATTTACATATATATGTTAAAAAGTGGATATTATATATATACACACATACAAAAATTGGAATTCCTGCTGGCAGCTCTCACCTCCCAAGGCCAAACAGGGGAGGGCAGTGCAAGCCATCGTGTTTGGCCAAAGGTGGTATGACCGGGGCTGTACCGGCTCCCGCAGCCCAGCCGGTGCTGGCACACCGAGGGGTGCTATGCCGGAGAGCCACCCAGTGGCAGGTTAACCAGGAAAACCACGTTGGGTTTCCACGAGTGAGCCCGGATCATTTTGCAGCCGGTATTTCCACGCCAAGGGTTTCTGCAGAGGACTGCAGGGAAGGAAGGGCAAAGGGCATTATTTTATTTAATTTTTTAAATTTTTCATGTTCATTAGAAAATCCAAACCAAAGTGTGACAAAAAAGAAGTTTTTAAAAATTTTTTTTTTCTTCCAGTGCAAGACACTGGATTGTCATCAATCATGAATTTAAGCCCCAGGGTCAAACTGGGAGTCAAAATACAACCTGTACTGCCAACAGATCTATGACTATCTGAAAAAATCCCCAAAAGAGACAACTTGGGTCTAAACTCCTTCAATTTATGGGCTGCGGGGGTGCAGGGATGGGTCAGAGATCAACCTTTGGGGTCCACACGACAAGAGTATAAGCCACAAATAAACACCACACAGACCTCCTTAAGGAGCCTCAAGCACAAACATTTTCAGGTCCACAAACCAGAAAAAAAAACCAACAAAAAACACAACCAAAACTCGGAAAGCTGCTGACTTTGCAGCCCAGGACAGCATCCCAGCAAGGCATCCCTCGGGCACACCAAGCCAGAGCCAGGGCAGGCTGCTCCATCCTCTGGTTTTGCCTAATTACTCCAAACGAAGGCACGGCCCCAACCCAAACAGCGCAGGGCGAGCAAGCCCACGGCTCAGCCCCACAGCTCCCTGCCTGGCTACAAAGCCTTCACCCCCATATCAGAAAAATTTAAATTAAAGATTGGGAGTGATCGGCCGAGATGTTGAAATTCAGGAGGAGTGGGTATGATTCAGCAGGGGTTTGGGGAGCGCTTGGCTATCGGTGAAGTCAGAGCAAACCAAACGCTAAGAGTAGTAACTATCTCACCTGGTATTATTATTTATGTATTCCTGATTATTATTATTATTAGAAAGGCGATCTGATGCAGCAGATACGGGGCTGAGCCAGGAGTCAGGAGACCTGGTTTCTATTCCTGACCTGGAAGAGTTGTGAAACTCCCTGCCCAACCCCTACCTGCTTTCCCCTCCCGGCCCCGGGCCGAGCCCATGCCCGGTGGCTGCAGCACCCACCGCGTCCCACGTTTGTGCATCGCCGCAGCCCCACAACAGGGACCTGCCTTGTCTTTCTGGCTTAAAAGAAAAACCAACAGCGTTGCATTGCCTAGATGCTGGCTTTGCAAATCCAGCCCGGCAGCTCGACAGGCTCCTGTAAAGCCTCTCGTGCTCCAAAATAAAAATCAAGGGGGAAGAAAAATTCCAACAAACCCTGATGCAAATAAAACCCCCTCGCCGAGGCAACAGCCTCCACCTGGCCTGACATCAAGGGGCACACCGATGGCCCAACGACAGCATCAACAGAAAATATTTTCTAAAGCATATTTAGAAGGATCAAACTGTTTCCCTTCAATTTGGGCACTGACAGCTTTACATGTGAAGGGAACAAACTCTGCTTTATAGTCCCCGGGGTGGTGCTGAGCAAGCAGGAAGGTGAAGCTGGAGCAAAAAGCCGGAGACTGAGGCCCCGGGGACGAGGTCCCACCCCGCAGGGAGTCCCGCCGAGCAAATAATACTCATGGCAAAAGGCAACAACTCCCGCTGACGGCTCCGGAGCGTTTCCCCGCGCTCCTCCGATCACGGGAGGTGCCAAGGTGAACTCAAACCAGCCTGACGCCAAAAACCAACCCAGCGAGGCGGGTTTGCAGCCGCCTTTGCAAAGAGCCACCCTCAACCAAGAGGCACCTTCCTGTATCCAGGAGAGCCTACCCGATCAAAACAAAGACGGTTCTGCGGTTGAATCGTCTCTTTGGTTTTCTCAAGCAACGCAGCCCCCGGCCGCGGGTGCTGCCAGCCGGAGCCTTTGACAACCCGAAAGCGAAACCACCACTAACCAAAAGGGGAAGGCGCTCGCCGAGCCCTCCTGGGCCCGTGCGGACAGACAGGCAAATACAACCGTGGTGAGGAGGAAACCTGCAAACATTTTTAGTTTAATAATCACCACATCAGCCTCCAAAGCTGGGCAGAGCGTCTGTGGCTTTGTAACCTCCCCCCACCCTCAGAAATGCCCTGCTGGGTTTGAATCCCTTGTCGTTTTGCTGTCGAAGCCCAAAGCATTTTCCCTACACCCCAACCGCCCGGAGGACCGGAGCTATAAAACCGTCCCTCCACGGTGGGATTAGGGAGTGTGGCGAGAGCCAGCAGCAGGCAGGGACACACGCTGCGCTCCGCTGCGAGGATAAAATAAAAGCAGCCAAGCTGTGCCCACTGCAGCGCGCGCTCTCAGGGCTCGGCACCATCTCGTTGGCTCCGAGAGCTGCACATGGTGCCAGCCGCGGCCATGAAGCACTCAGCCCCCTTTCACCTCCCTCCCCACGCTGCTCAGTGACTGCCAGATAAAACCCATCACTTACTTCGTGGCTCCCGGGGTCCGTCTACAGTCACTTTAATGGCTCGGTGATAGGTAGCGACTTGGGTGGGGTTGGTGAACACGGTGATCGTCAGGGTAAAGCTTTTTCCTAAGGAGGGTGGGGGGAAAAAAACAAAACAAAACAACATGAGAAATGAGGATATTCACATAGATTCAGCTCTTGTGGGAGCAAAAGGCTCCTGCTGGAGCAAGCTCAGACACAAATATCCACATCCACCGAACTCCAACACACACATCATTTAATTTTATGAGACATTATTGCCGAGACACAAAGCTCGGCCGGCTCCCACTGGGGTTCAGCTGGCTGCAGCAGAGCGAGGCTTGGACCCAGTTCAGAGCGGGAGCCAGGACCTTCCTGGATGGAAAAGTCACTTGTCCCCCCCTCCCCTGCCCTGTCCCCATATTGAACCCTCCACCCACAGCAGCTTCCTGGTGCCTTCCCGCTCAGATGCTTCCCCTTTTCCCATGGGAATCCAGCCCTGAAACGTGGCGCTGGACGCGGGACCCCCTCTGTGAGGGAGGGATTTGAGTCCTGGCACCCATGGGATGCTCCTGTGGGAGCAAGGTGGGGAGATGGCATCAGCCCGCAGGCGATGGGTGCTGGTGCCTGCGGGGGAATCCCGGTGTCTTTGGCCCCCCAGATGCGTCCGTGCAGGGATGTTTGGAGGGGAGCTCTGCCGGGCCCTCGGCCATATGAGCACCCGCAGCCCACGGACAGGGACCAGGACCAAGAACTGGAAATTACAAAATGGGAACTGAATCTGGTCAGTTTGGGCCACCAGAAGCGGCCACCAGCCAGCCAGCTGCGGCAACTGTCACCCTCTCCCAGCCCTGACCAGAGAGCAGGAACGTGCTGCTGGGAAGGAGCTCAGACACCATCATGGGAGCTTTCAGGGATGCTCCTGAAGCACCTAGCTTGTCACTTTTTTTTTTTTAAAAAAAAGGGGTTAAAGCAGTGAAAAGCTGTTGGAGCCCAATTTTGCAAGAACACACCAGCAACACCTTGCCCCAGCAGAGCAGGTTTCCAACCACAGTCCGAAAACACTTTTGGCATCACAGAGTGTGTTATCACACCTGCACCCACATGCCAGCGCTCTCTCCTCTCGCAGCACCCACTCCGACCCCAAACCCATTCACCTCCTGCAGCCTGGGCAGCCCCATCCCAGACCCTCTGCCCTCTCCCTGCCCCACCTCAGCTGCCATCACATCCCCCATGTCCAGCCCACGGGGAGGCTGCGGGGGAGCAGAGGCCCTTCCCATGGAGACCGGCATGGTGCCGGGAAGGGGCTCTGCTCCCCCACAGCCTCCCCAGATTCAGGAATCTCTTGGGTCAAGGAAGGAGGTTGTACAGTCACGGGAGCAAACTGCTCCAACCAACCCTCCAGGAGCAATCACCGTGGGATTTCAAAGGTATTGAGTATTTCAGAGGTATAAACCTCAGCAGGAATCAGGCTGGAAATGCCCGCGCAACAGCCCCTTTGCTCCTCCAGCCTCTCTTTCACAAATAAATGCAGTAAGAAAACACCTCCTTCCTCTTTTCCCCTAAAGGGATTAGGGGTTTTCAGATCCCGACCGTCCTCTATCTACAGGGTTGGACCTGAGAATATCCATAGCAAAAGAAAACACTATTTATACAGCTAGGAAAAAAAAAAAAAAAAAAAAAACACCAAAAAAAAAAA